CGAGAGAGAGAGAGAGTGAGAGCAAGAGAAAGAGAGAGAGAGAGAGAGAGAGAGAGAGAGAGAGAAGGATCAGCGAAAACATACACAATCTTTGCGAAATTCTAAAATCTTAGATCATTCCTTCTTAGCTGTGGAACACAACGATTTAGCTATAATTATGCTATAGGTTCGGATACCTTTCATTTCATTGAACTTTTTTCCTTGTCTGATCCTCTGTAGGATACCTTCATGTCATTGCAATAACATTCGAGCAGGAAAACTATTCGGCTTTCACTTTTAGTGGAAGCTAGCTGCTACCCCATGAAGAAATAAAACAAACACGCAAGAAAAAATACAGTGATGTGTGAAAAAACGCACACACACGCGCGCACACTACACATACATTCACACATACACGTGAGCATGCAACCGCGCACACATATCCGCACGGACAGACAGACCGACAGACAGACAGACAGACCGACAGAGCGAGAGAGAGAGAGAGAGAGAGAGAGAGAGAGAGAGAGAGAGAGGAGAGAAAGATAGAAAGAAAGAAAGAGAGAGAGAGGGAGAAAGAGAGAGAGAGAAAGAGAGAGAGAGAGAGAGAGACAGAGAGAGACAGACAGAGAGAGAGAGAAAGAAAACGACGCGCCAAGGCATTTCGTCTGTAGCGACTAACATAAAACACACGTAAACTATATCAGCAACTATATCTAGCTACGACATATATAAATACGCTACAGCTTAATATCCCCGACTCCTCTTGCTTCGTGTTTTTCCTGATTTTCTCCCGTTTTTCCAGCTGCAGTCAAAGTACGATCCAGAGCTAGCTGCCGAACTGACCAAGTGGGTGTCTAGCATCATCGGAGAGGACCTGCCTTGTACGGGCGATAAGAAAGAATTCCACACGACTTTCAGAAATGGCGTCGTACTCTGCAAGTACGTGTCAATCGTTCGGACATAATAATCTTCTATCTAATATTATGATTAATAATTTATACTAATAAATTAATAATCCAATAGATAATAGATATGGGTAGGTAAAAATTTAAAGATGGTGTGTGAGAGATAAGTATGCGATCTCTGTACGCTGCACCGCGAAAGATGCGATATGGAATAGATAGATACATGGATAGGTAAGGTAAAATTAGATAATAATAATAATAATTTATACTAATAATCTAATAGATAAATACTAATAGGTGGGTAGGTAAAATCAGAGAGGGTGTGAGAGAGGGGGAGCAAGTATGTATGAATCTCTCTACTCCAGTGCGAAACATACGACAGTGGTTAGATAAATAGATGGTTAGGTAAAATGAGAGAGGGTGATAACGATGACGATGATGATGATGATGATGACGACGACGATGACGATGACATTGACGATACCCATGACGATGACGTGTTTCTCTCTCACACACGTGTTTAATTTGCACCGTGCGTTATACTTTTTTTAATAAATAGACATTTAAACCCTGGCAAACCCAAGACACCGTTAGTCTTTAGGAAAAATATGAAATCTGCTTAAAATGGTTACTATTGACTCACTAAACGCCAAAATAGAGTTTTTTTGCTGAAATTAACCCATTCGATTCATATTTGGGACCAGGGTCATATTTGACCCATTGGGTTTTCAGGGTTAATCTTGTACCGAAAATGAATAACCAATATTTTTGGTAATATTTTTTTTTAATAATATATTTCTGCCAAACTATGCTAAATTTAATATGAATTTAATACTTTTTTTCTACTTTTTCGTTTTGTTTCACCGCTTTCTACTTTCTCTCGCACCCGTGTTTAAGTATTATGCGTTTCGTCTCAGGCCACAATTAAAAAAATATTTGTTTGCCCTCACCCGACTCAGGCTGAAAGGTTTAGGTAGGTAGGTAGGTAGGATTTTTTGAGGAGGCTCTTTTTTACAAATTCAGCGTGGTGTCTACATACTCGGGTGTGCTTGTGTGGAGATACCTTTTATGTTGAATGTTTGTTTTGCTTGGCACATATAATGTATTGCCTACAGATTCATATAATGTACAGTAATACAATTTGTAAAAAAACAATTTGAGTCGGCCCCATTTTGGCGGGTCGGTCGGGTGAGGGCAAACAAACAATATTTTTATTATGGCCCCACCAATAAAAAAACTATAGCCACTGTTTACTATATCGTATATGCTGAGCAAGGCATAAACAGGTGATGGGTACGTGAAAAGAGGTGTACGAAAACTTTTCATGACACGAAACTGCATTTGACAATTTCATTCGTCAATCCTAATTTTCTGAGCAATTAAATTATTCGCTAATTGTATTCGTCCTTTTTAATGCAGTAAAATCGCCACTGTTATTTATTCGTCGCATTTTGCGAAGGTGGCGAATGCCAGCGGTAGCCCTGCCATAGTTCGATTAGAATTTTTAAGCGTGATTAAATATTTTTCGCCTCACCGCTTCGCAGGCTGGCTAACGCCATCAAGCCGCAGTCGGTGAAGAAGATCAACCAGGGTAACTCTCCGTTCGTCTTCATGGGGAACATCGAGGGATTCCTCAATACGATCAAGAAGATGGGAGTGCCTGACCAGGAGACGTTCCAAACGACGGAACTCGTAGAGGGAACAAACCTGTACGCTGTACAGTGCTGCCTATACTCGTTAGGAAGGAAGGTAATAAAGGGGGAGAGTTGGAGGAGAGGGAGGGAGAGAGAGAGAGAGAGAGGAAGGGTGGGAGAGAGGGAGAGAGAGGAGATGAGGAGACGAGAGAAGAGAGAGAGAGAGAAAGAGAGAGCACGAATCGAGAGAGGTAGCGAGATGAGAGAGAGATAGAGAGACGGAACTGCACTGACCATATTATATCACTAATTTTACCATTATTACTCGTGCAGTGGCAGCAAGATAGAGGCATTCCCGGGATTCGCCGTCCACAGCGAGGCGAAGGCGAAAACAAGCGGGAGTTCTTCCGGCTAGGAACAGATGAAGGATGTGGAAGTATGTTCACATGTGTGTGTGTGTGTGTGTGTGTGTGTGTGTGCGTGTGTGTGTGATGTGCATGTGTGTGTTGTGTGTGTGTGTGTGTGTGTGTGTGTGTGTTGTGTGTGCATGTGTGGTGTGGTGCTTGTGGTGGTGTGTGTGTGTGTGTGTCCGTGACCTCGCAGTGTGTGGTGTTGTGTGTGTATGTTGTGTAGTGTGTGTGTTGTGGGTGTGTTGTGGTCGTGTGTGTGTGCTGTGTGCGTGTTGTGCTGTGTGTTGTTGTGTGTGTGCTGTCGTTATGTGTGTCCGTGCGATGTTGTGTGTTTGGTGTGTGTGTATGTGCGTGGGGTGTGTTGTGTTGTTGTGCGCTGCGCGCGCGCGCGCAGCGCGCGTGTGTGTGGGGTGTGTGTGTGGATGTGTTGTGCATGTGTGTGTGGTGTGTGTGTTGGGATTGTGTGCATGTCCGCTGTGTGTGCGGCATTCGTGTTATATCTATTATATATATATATATATAACCTATGTGATAATAAAATCTATTGTCTATTGCCTAATCACGTATTACATTAGGTATTATAATTGCAAACTATGTATTGAACACCACTCAGTGTGAAATCATTACATTGCGTGCAGCAGACCTGACGTACGGTGTGCATAGCTGTACGCTAAATCTAAATCTGAGTAGTGTAATTCTACGCAGAAGTTATTGACACTGTGACTTACAACGCTAACTGTCGTCGGTTCTTCGATGTGATCTTGACTTCCGTGGAGCACTAAGGGGCGACCCAGTCTGTGACAGAGCTTCGGGCAACAGCGCCACATGTAGACTGCAACCACCACGGGGGGCGCTGCGGACGGTGACGGGCGCGCATGCCGCAGACGGAGAAACAGTCCTCACGTAGTAAACCGTGTTTGGTCTATTGTTTCACGCAGTGGTAGTCATTTGATGTCAGCGGGCAAGCACTGCCCGTAGAAGGAGATCAAGAACTTAAGCAGGAAATCCCTGAGGAATACGGTCGATCGAATACGGAGGAAAGCTCTTCCTGTTCATGCTTAAATTTTTCGTCTCGTGATACGAGATCGATATGAAAATTCAAGCATTGTCATCAGAAAAATATTTGCTTGCTACACTCCTTTACTGATACTTCCTCTACCGATACATTCCGTCTATCGTACTTCCTCTACCGATACAATCTCCTTCTACCGATACATTCTCTACCGATACATTGCCCTACCTGACATAAGCTCCATCAATTATCTCCTCCCCCAATACTCCTCTGTATGAAGATACTGTGATTACACTCTACCGATACATTCCTCTGTGCTGATTACAGATCCTCTATCGATACATTCCACTTCAGTAGATTCACTGTACTGATATATTTATGCCACTATCGACATATTCATTTATCACTATTGGTGCCTTATTTTAGGTTTGGTTACATCACCTTTGTTTTTATACGTAGCTTTTGTGCTAATCTCATATTACGGATTACCACTAATTTAGATCGGAGAGCGCTGTAGAGATTTTCAAATCGTGATTAATTCGCGTCTGGAAATTACAACAAAGCTATATGTGAGATCTGTTTAATTTATGTATTGAGACAATGTAATTTTCACATTAAACTGGCGGCATGAGTTAGTCCTATAGGAGATCAGGGTATTGATGTCACACACTCAAGCGCGCACTGCGCCGACCAACGGCAAAATAAGTTATAATCCTTCGACTTTCGTGGAATTATAGTGTCTGCGTTTTACGGGCTCCTTAGCCAGTTGATGAGGAAAGGCAATTGGAGTAACCAATTCAAATGAACTAGCTACAAAAGTCCCCATCCTTATTGAAACGATATAATTACCAGGAAAGGTTTTATTGCAATTTTATTTTAATTTTTCATCTTTCATATTATACTACAGCTGTGACTTGGTGAGATATTGCGCCATGGCGCTAACAATAAAACGTAGCCAGATTGTGTCTGACTGGTTTATGCGAGCAAAAGACCTTTACATGCCAAGGTCTGCTTCCTTTTCTAAGTGACGGTATATGATGCCGAATATTATCATAGAATCATCTGCTTGGATAACCCCTCTTCATTTTAAATTAATAATTTTGGCAAAATATTTTTCTTCTTGGGAGATATTGCGCATGCGCGAGCAACGTTTCAGACAGGCAGTACGGCCTAAATAAAAGTACGTAATATAGCTTGCTCCGGGAGAGAGGGGTGGGAGACTGAGAAAAGGTGGCAGAAAAGACAGCCGAGGGGCGGTGGAAGAAGAAGGAGGCTGAGCATGCGACAAGGGAGACAAGGGGAATGACGGGAGGGGATGAAGTAGTAGTTTTGCACCCTACTGGCAAAGGCGCTCTCCTAATTATAAACACAGGTCTAGTGATGAGAATTTATTACAGAAACCTATGCTGAGATACACCCTGACCATAGTAAATGCATTTTCAGCACAAGCTAAAACTCACGGAAGTCTCGTGAGATATTCCGCATGCCCTCAAACAATAACGTAGCCAGATTGTGTACTGACTGGTTTATGCAGCGGAGAACTTACATGCAAGGTGTGCTTCTTATTTCATAAGTGAGGTCTACTGATGGAATATTATTATAGAAGTCTATGCTGGGATAACCCCTCTTAATTTTAAATTCATAATTTTGGCAAAGTATTTTTCTTCTTGGGAGATATTGCGCATGCGCGAGCACCGTTTCAGACGTGTAGTACGGCCTAAATAAAAGTACGTAATATAGCCTGCTGCGGAAGAGAGGGGGAGACTGTGGGACGGTGGCAGGGAAGACAGCCGAGAGGCGGTGGAAAAAAAGAAGGCTGAGCGTACGACAAGGGAGACAAGGGGGAGGGCGAGCGGGGATGAACTAGTGGTTTTGCACCCTACTGGCTAGGGCGCTCTCCTAATTATAAACACAGGTCTACTAATAAGAATTTATTACAGAAACCTATGCTGAGATACCCCCTGACCATATTAAATGAATTTTCAGCACAAAATATAACTCCTCTCGTGAGATATTCCGCATGCGCTAAAACAGTAACGTAGCCAGATTGTGTACTGACTGGTTTATGCCGCGGAGACCTTATACCTGCAAGGTCTGCTTCCTATTTCATGAGTGCGGTCTACTGATGGAATATATTATTGTAGAAATCTATGCTGGGATAACCCCCCTTCATTTTGAATACATAATTTTGGCAAAATATCTTTCTTCTTGGGTGGAGATATTGCGCATGCGCGAGCACAGTTTCATACGTGCAGTGCGGCCTAAATAAAAGGGCGTAATATAGTTTGCTGCGGGAGAGAGGGGTGGGAGACTGAGGGAAGGTGGCAGGGAAGACAGAAAAAAAAATATTTCTAATGGTGATTGAACCATGAAACTTTTTATGTAGCGTAATTTTAACCTAAATTAACTGAAAATATCCCTAGAACCTAGAGTAAAGGATCCCTAGTACGGATATTGAAAAATTCACGTGCGCGCGGGCTGTGATCGATCTAGGCAGCTAGCCGTGAGTAATTCGCCATTGCTATGTAATAGTGTTTACATATGTGTTTATCTCATAACTAGGCGTCTGTGCGCTCAGGGGCGTAACTTGTGATTTTCCTGGGGACACGGCTACGCGCAGTTTAACTTTATGTCCTGGGCACAACAAATCATCAATCCGCAGTGTTGATCTATTTATTTGATAAACTCTGTCTGCCAAATGCGTGAGGCTTGTGAGCCCTGTACTCTGAACCGTAGTTGTACTGTGGGCTGTACGTGGGCGCATGTGCAACCCTAACGAGTGGAATTCACAGATGACAAAAAACTAGATGTATATATGAGCTGATAGACGATATTAAACTGGCGGAAAGACGGCAAGTGCATGCATTTGCTATCATCTTTTCTTTCTTTATTCTTTCATCATTTGCTATCAGATCTAGCTTATCGCCATTTTACTATTTCAAGAGGCCGCGTGGATTCCACGTGTGTTGTCGGGGTAACGTAGGGACGTCACGCTGTTGCTGGGCGCAGCTGCGTAACAAGGAGTTAAATGTATTTATATTTATATTTAGCTCCTTGCTGCGTGAGAGAGGTAGCTGAGAATGAGAAATGACGTAATCGGGGTCAGCGGGGTCAAAACGCGCGCGTAGCGAGCAGGTGATGTCTGCCAGACCATATCAGCGGTCGCTGACACCTGCTGCTGCTGCTACTGCTGCCTGCTGTTGCTGCTGCTGCTGCTGCTGGTGGTGGTGGTGCTACTGCTGCTGCTGTTGGTGGTGGTGCTGCTGCTGGTGGTGGTGGTGCTGCTGCTGCTGTTGCTGGTGGTGGTGGTACTACTGCTGCTCCTACTACTACTACTGCTGCTGCTACTGTAGTGGGGTTGGTGGTGGTACTGCTGCTGCTGCTGCTACTGTCGCTGTCGCTGGCATCTGCACCGATGCAAAACCTGTTGCGTGCTCGGAAACCCCTCACGACAACAATGTCGCTCACTGCTCGCCTGTTTCCCAACGAAGGTTTTCTGAATATATTATTATGCCGACAATCGGTCATTGTACAAGTGGTGACTCGTTCACTGTTCGCCTCAATCTCACCGCAGAGGTGAAAAATGCTATCATAATTTTGTTTGCTATGGCGCGGCGCAATTTAATCAAATTTCATCAAAGGCCAGTGGTCACGTGATCTCCGTAGTGGGAATGTGCTGGCCATTAGAGAGAG